CCATTATTAACACTTCAGAGGAAGGAATGGAAGTGTTAATACCAACAGTGGAACTGGAAGAATTCGACACAGCGGCAAAGGAAAACTTGGTGAAGAATAAGGAATATTTTACAACCTGCAACGAATCTATGGAACCCCCATGCAATACCGAAACCCGAGGGAATGAGGTGGAGCATGATTTAGTTGTTGAAGATACCCCCGTCGTTAATGATAAACTTGAGCAAGGTCTAGTATTTACCCCCCCCCCCCCTGTGTTGACATCGCCGAGATCCGAGGATGCTCGGGAGGTCAGTTAAGCATCAGTGGTGACGCCGTTGAGGACGACGTCGATCACTACCGCAATTCCCTTAAGAGCATTGCCAGGGTCCGAGGACGCTTGGAAGGCTCAGATTGTCCCCTTGCCAGAATTCCCCTTGAGAGCATTGCCAAGGTCCGAGGACGCTTGGAAGGCTCTGGTCGTCCCCTTGCTGGAATTAATAATCAGTTATATTGTGTCAACGAGTCTGAAGACCGTACAGAGGAGATTTTAAGATTATTGCAGTTGAACCACTTAAATAGTGAACACACTATCCTTACCACGGATGAGCGTCCAGTTTTGACAAAACAATACGGATACAGGAAAGGAAGATTAAACGGCAATGCCGATGCCTTAACAAGAAACCCACTGAATCGCCGCGAGGATTCTAATGAATCTCAATTTTCATATAGACCAAGAGACACGACGCCTCTTCTTCCATTACCAGCACCTGCTACGAATTTAAGAACAGCAGTGGACTACTATGGTCCTGTACATTCGCGACCCCCGGATAATTTTGAGAATTTTGACCCACTGAATTCCCCTAACAACGACTGTGATATGTATTTCTGCTAAAAGAACCTCGAAAAGGGAAGTTCGCTAGTCAATATTCTGGACCATACAAGGTCTTGGAAGTTCTTCCTTCAAATAATATACGAATTCAATTTCGCGATAAGCCCCGCGTAGTACACGCGGACAAACTCAAACTAACCCAGGTAGACCCGGGGTGAAGAGATAATAATACTTCTTTTCAACTGTTTTAGATGCTTCGAGATCATCGACCCGGTCTGCCTGGCCCACAGCGGGCCTTGTCAGATTTAAATCTCGACCACCACTTTATATATTGTACCAAAGTTGACAACTACCGCAATACTAGTAATGGAGAAGTCATTTGCACCAGCTGTTACAATCGGATAGTCTCGCCTCTTTTACGCGAGCCGCTGATCCACACCTTTTCAATACTTTTATTAATTTTAATTACGCCTAAGACCTTCAGTCTAATTGGCTTTGACTATGGTGGCCTGCATTTAATCACAACTTCTGTTTCTGTTTTAGGTTTACGTCAACTCCCCAGGAGACCGTACGTCCACATTTACTGAATACATAAATTTGCTGCTTGCCTTTCGCAGCCAGCAGGTCAATATTAACGACCTTAAATTTGAATGCAACAAATTGTACAATCACCTGTTTCTATAAGGGACTGAAACATATGTCCCTATCGAAGGTTCCCCCCCAGGGTGCATCCGTTGATTCGGAAGTATCACATCCTGAGATGCGAATGCTCCTTGGTCGACGCCTTCTGCGAACCTAATAACCCAAACTACGTTTGCATTAATTGCTATGATCGAAATCCTTCCTCGTCCCTCGAGCCGGGTGTCTTACATATCTTGCTCTACGGACCACGAGGGACTATCCGGTGCAGTATATGCCACCGCAACATACTTATTTTTAAAAGGGCGATAGATTGCCGGGAATGCTTTACCGCATATTTCGAAAGTATTGCGCAGATACGCCAGGCCAGAATTAACTATAAACGATTAGCATTCATGATGTACGATGTATTAACTTATAGTATCTGGCGTATGGAACTATTAGATGGACGACGACGCGATTAACTAATTAACAATACTCCTCTTTTGATATAAATAAGATTTTAGTATGTAAGGAACTCTGTAAATAACCAAACCTAAGGAAACCAAGGACTCTCTAAAGCAGACCCCAGAAGTGACGCCCCAGTAACTCCCCTAAACCACTACCTCCCACTGTTTCCTACAAACAAACTTCTAAGTGAAACAATCGAGTCGGCATCACCAATCCTGCTAATTCAGCAATACTACGATCCGAGCTGGAAGTTCTTCGCATTTTGCGGGGCTGCATACAACATCTCCCCGCTCAACCTTCAGCATATGGCAACGCCTAAACAGAGGGAAGCAACTCTGAACTTTCCCTCTCAGACAACGAGGACTTCGATCAACAGCTCGTGATCCTGCTACACCGCTGGTTACGGATTTCTGGATATCCGTAAGCCATGCCGGCAGCCGAACCACCAAGTTCCTGGCTACCGCCATGCTGAGCCCGATTCTGCATAAAAACCCGAACCGACTCATCCAACCTACACCTACACCCCCCTTACACACCTGCCAGAGGTGTTGATTCCACCACGTCACTACTGCATCTGCCCAGGAGAGACTCACACATAAAGCCCTCCGCAACCAACTCCAAATATTAATCATGCTGGAAATTCCGCGCTACAACTGTACCCCGATTTATTGAATCGCAGCGGCGATTCACAATGTATCCCTAGTAAAACGTCGGGATTCATTGTTAAATAAGGGGGGAGGTGTAACGTCCCGTGAAAATTTTTCGATTTCATAATTATAATACTTACCTTCAGTATAATATTTTTACTTTTATTTTTACTTTCCGATTATGCGTGCGAATAATATGCGTGCACTTTCCGATTATGCGTGCGAATAATATGCGTGCGAATATATTTTATTACTTTATTACATTTAATATTACGACTACTTATAAGCAGCCCTCGGCAATAATTAATCTTTGCTTCAATAATTATAACATTTTGCCTTTATAATTCTTGTATAATCATACTACTATACCCCATTATCTCATACAGACTTATTTTAGCACCTTTAGTAGTAAGATGTTGCTGAGTGTTGTTTCTAGTCATTACTATATATATATCCTCTCACCGGCATTCGTCGAAGTAATTTTGCTTTATGGTATTTTGCTTTTATACTCCATATACAATTATTCAAGTATATTAACCCATACCGATACAGTCTACTATTTTATTATTAAAAAATTACATTACGTATCTTTATAAGATACCGTTTATACGACATTCTTCATTTATACTAATTATAAGTGCTTAATTATATTATTACGCGACACCATTTATAATACAATAATTTTATACTATTCCCAGAATTACGCCTGATATTAATACCCTATGCGTAAAAGGCTTTTTATACCATTCACATATTGCATATAACCACATAACTATATATATATATTTTTTTATAATAATAGTTACTTAAATAGCGTAATGCGCCTTATTCAATTAACTATCTATTATATAACCATTAGTTTAAGAACCTATATATCTTAGAATTACTGGCAGATTGTACCTACGACAAAATTTTAATCATTATCTCAGAAACGATAAGATTCAGAGCCATAGTTATACAACTAAAATTATAGCACTCGTTAAGATAGAGAGAAGTTAGTATATCAAAATTTCAAAACTATTATACAAAAATCAAAATGTTAGTTAATATCTGGAAAGCGATGAGACTTAGAGCTGTATTTATAAGGACCAAAATTGTAGCGCTCGTGAAGCCCGAAAGAAGTCGTTATATCAAAATTTCAAAATTATGTAATAATTTATATTTCAAGAATTACGAGGCTTGGATAAAATTTAAAGGCCTTCAATTTTTCAATTAGCCTAATTAACAAATACTAGAAGGAAATTTTTCTTTTATCCTTATTGGTTCTCGAATTAACAAATTAAATTTCAAAAATTCAAAATTAAAAATTATAATAGTATTTAATACACCCAAATGACATATATTACACGATGAACATCTTAGAAACATTAACTGTTACAAAGTTACAACAACCTGTCTGTATAATGTAAAACTCAATGTAAATAAGGTACTAAAAAAGGTCCGAAGTCTCTAAGCCTCATGGTTCTCAAAATAAGTAATTTTAAAGAATCATCACTATAAAAGCAATGAGTACGAGAGAGAAAGTACGAGAGAGAAAGAGAAAGAGCTATACTCTATGACCACGCAATGAATACGAGAGAGAAGGTATAGGAAAGAGAGAGAGGACTATATACTATGAAACTTTAATAATTTTTATCTCGGAAACGGTATGACATAGCACAATAGTTATAAAACCAAAGTTATAGCGCTTCTTAAGACAAAGAGAAATTATAATATCAAAATTGCGAAATTATGTAAATTATAAAAAATTAATTTATATCTCGAGTATTACGAGGCTTAGGTGAAATTCAAAAGGCTTTAATTTTTCAATTAGCTTAATTAACAAATATAGTAAGGAAACTTTTCCTCCCTTTTCATTGGCTTTCAAATTAACAAATAATTTTTTGAAAATTTAAAATTAAAACTTATAATAGTATTTAATAGACCTAAATAACATATGCTATATAATTAATATCTCAGAAATGCCAACCGTTACAAAAGTACAATAAACTATTTATAGGATATAGAATTCAATATAAATAAGGTACTAAAAAAGATCCGAAGCCTCTACGCCTCCTGGTTCTCGAATAAATTAATTTTAAAGAAAACGCTATGAGTAAGAGAAAGAAAGTATAAGAAAGAGAGAGAGAACCTGTTGGGTCCCGTAGGAGAGGGTGTGGTAAAGAGAACAACGTCCGAATCCTGGTACGCTTTCTTTATTGTGTGCTCACTACTGAGACGGGGAAAATATCCCTCAGATCGCACAGAGCTCGCGTACGACGTGGTGCCCGAGATGATGGGTGCACGCACACTACTGCCTGCCTCGCGCGCGTCGCGCCCCCTGCCGGGGTCGGCGTGTCCCGCCCCC